CTGCTCAGGCCTCGGCTGCTCTGCATGGCCAGTGTGTACGGGGCCCTTGGCTGCCTTCTTGTCTGTGCGGAAGGAACTGCCCGTTCCTGCCCTGGCCTTGCTGCGGTTCGTCTGGGGAGCGAGCGGGTGAGCTGAGTTAATCTCGGTGCCTGTCAGGGGCGCTCGGTGCTGGTTTCAGCTGATCAGGACGTTGTGCTGCGAGATTGCGTAGCTACAGGCTTTGGTAGATGGGAAACCAGCTGAGCCTTCGTCAAAGGGTGAGTAGGAAGGGGGAATTTTGCACTGATGGAGAGTTATATGCAATGGTCTATCAACGCAATAGCAAGGCCACAGTCATTATGGCAGGTGTTCTTGGGACTTAACGCTGTGGGTAGATATAGTTATGTAATTTTAACAGAAGTAAAGCTGATTTACAGATTTAAATTTTCCTTCTTGGAGCCAGAGAACAACTTTTTTTTTTTTTTTCTCTTAGGCTTTGGTTACATCCAGAAATACTGCATTTCTTTCATTCAGTACATATAATCAAGAGTACAGTCACCATAGCAGTAAAAATTAAACACTCTTGCAACAGCATAGATACACTACGTGCTATCTACAGGACTAAAAGTACATATGACAGAAAACCTAATGCTGTTGAAAGTGTCATCCTCAAGCTCATAGAGCAGCTGATGGAGGATGTGTCCCATATTAAAAAAAAAAAAAAAAAGTTTTAACTTTTGTGAATGTAAACAAGCCATATTTTTCGTGCTATTGGCAGTCTGTTTTCAGCTGATTGTTGTCTAAATCTTCATGGCCCCAAGTTACCCTTAATTAAAATGTTCTGAAAAATTAGATAATGCATCTCAGCTTTTACCATCTGCTACTTTCAAACATCTCCTAATTTTCTTGAAGATAAGTAAAATAATTAATTGCTTATTAAATTTACAGTATTTATTTTCTTTCCTCCTGTTACCTCCTCTTTCTGTCTTACATTCTCGCATGCCTTAGTTTATTTTTTAAAAAAACTTCCTTTCTCTCCTTTTCAGTGAATTTTAATCATCCTCAATTATAAGAAGTGATGTTAATCATATACTAGTGAGCACAGCTGGCTAGTAATATTTTGCAGCTCATTGTTGTTCTGCATTCAAGTAAAATCAGTTTTATAATGCGTAAGAAAAGAATTGCAGTAATAAAGAAGTGTTTCTTTTTCTTTAATTACGTCAAAAACAACTACAATGGGAATCTATTTCAGCCCAGTAAAAGCTGCAGGCTTTTGCAGCCTGCCTGGCTTTTTTTTGCGTATGCAATAGGATTTCAAGTAGTACTTATGGGGCAACATTTGAATTTCTAATAAGTAGGCTGTATTACTGATTACTTAAATGGATAGCATTAAGCAGCCCTATTGAAATGCATGCCACTGAGTGTGGAGCAAGATTCTGGCTTCTTGCAATGTACTGAAAATTAGGTGTACTAGACTATTTTCATAATGTTGTTGCAACTGGTAGTGTTACTAGATACAAATCTGCAGTGAAAAATCTTGCATTCCTACATGTCTGCATCAGCTGGAAGGTCATATCTTTCACTGGCTAGAAGTCAAGGCTGGCATTTCTAGGGATGCTAATGTATGCTTTTTATCAAGTGAACTTGATGTTGTATGGGTCTCTGGCTTAACTAGATTTCCTTTGCCTCTTTCCATTCCAGCTTTACATCTGATGGCAGCTGAGATAGCTTGCTCATCTTGGCCTGCCTCTGTTACTCTTCATAACTGGCGACTGGAGGATGTAGCTTGATTAATGCTGTTACTAATTTGACATGTAGATTAAATGTCTGTAATGTTTTCAGTCTCCAGCAAATGGGGCTTCCAGATAGGAGGGATAATTTGTATAATGGCTTCTACTGGAATAATAAACTCGAAAGCCGCTCTCCCCCCATTTTGTTGAGTTGTTGTGTGTGTTAAACTCCAAGTACGGGTTAGGCCAGGCTGCCTCTTGGCACTTTTGTTTGACGGAAGCAATTGCAGAAGATCCCACTGCAAAGAAGCGTTTTTTGTCATTGTTGCTTGTATTGCAGTGGAGACACTACGTGGCTTTCGCTCCCTGGTGCAACTGGTACTCTGTTCATCTAGCAGAGGGGGAACGAACAAAACAAAATCTATTCCTAAAGCAGCCTGATATTTTGCATTAAATATTTGTTTCTTGTCCTTTGGCTGGCCTTTGTAGTATAGGTGGATTTTTTTTGTGTGTGTGTGTGTTAACCCGGTAGAACCGGAGCTCAAATGGTTGGTTAAACTGACCGGGTTAAAATCTAGTCTGTCTTGATAATAAGATTTTCAGTGGTATCGTTTCTGCTGCTCAGCTCACTGTGTGTTTGAACAAATGTTAGCACTAGCATGAAGAAAAGAGTAGGGGGAAGATGAAGCTGGGGTAGCCCAAGGAAGGGAGGGAGGAGGAACGGCCAGTGATGGACTTGCCCTGTCCAGCGACAGCCCCAAATCTATGTTGGCTTGAAGCAATCATGGATTGTAACCTAAAGCAGGAGCAAGTGTGTCGAGAAGGTCGTGTGTGTAAAATACATTCCTCTGTCAACTCCATCTGCTTCTTATTTTCTTAGCAAATCCCATCACTTTGATGGAGATTTCCAGGCTCAGTGTGAGCAGTTGGCAGCAGTGACACCCCTTACCGGGCTGCAGTTGTAGAGCTGGCGGTCTTTAGGATGTGCTTTAGCTGTCAAATCTGCAGTGAAAATAGGTTCCAGAAAGCTCCTAGGCGAGTCTACGCTTGGCAGTGGAGGCGGAAGTGTGAGCTTAGTGTAGATTTCTAATCTATATTTAAATCCCGGTTTGTGTGACCTTCTGATCCCACTAGCAGTTGTTCTTTCCTAAAATTGCTTCTGAATTGGAAATGAAATGTAAACTGCTAGGGCACAGCGTGGGGTAGGGGGCGGGTTTCAGCTCTTCGAGGGAGAGGGAGACGACTGGTCAGAGCAGCCCTCCGTGCCATCGCCTCGGCCTGGCCAAGAGCTTTCAGTGCTCCCATCTCCAAGGAAGGGCAGAGCTGGCCTTTCAGGCTCCCTCTTGCATCCTTGGGAATGGTCTGGGACAGAGCTTCCACTGCCGTGATTGGAGGCAGCTTCTCGTGTATGGAGCGACACCTTCACAAATTAAGCAGAAGATTTTCTGCTCGAGATGCCTAGATGCCTGAGATGCCCTTTGTATGGCAGACCTCAACAAACCCCTGTCATTGCTCAGGGCCCAAACACCTTTGTGTCCTTGGAAGCTCCCCTGTTGGGAGCTTCAAGACCCTGGTGGGCCTCAAGTTGCACCAGGAGAGGTTCAGGGAAAAAATCTACACGGCAAGAGTGGTGAAGTGCTGGAATAGGCTGCCCAGAGAAGTGGCGGAGTCACCGTCCCTGGCAATGTTCAATAAATGTGTAGATGAGGTGCTTAGGGACATGACTTAGCAGGCATCAGGGACATGGTGGTGATGGGTTTACTGTTGGACTTGATGACCTTGAAGGTCTTTTCCAGCCATAATGACTCTATGACTGAAGGAAGGAGAAGAGGGACCGCAGTGTCCTGCAGACTCAAGGGCCCTGCATGTGCTGTGGGTGCTGGTGCCGCGGGAGGAGATGTTGACCACGCTGTGGAACAGAGCAAGGATCCCTGTCTGCCGAGGCAACTTCTTGGTTCCGGGCTCCTCCAGTGTTTGAAAGGAAGAAATAACCTCAAATAAAAAAATAAAAGCATACCTATTTGAAAATGTTGTTGGAAGCCACAAAATGTTGAAGGGTTTAGAAAGAGCGTTAAGCAGTAGGTTTCTCTCTCTCTTTCTCCCTGCTGCTGTTTTAGGAATCAGTGGAGCTGTCATTAGCAGTGGCTTGATCTAATGGATTTTGCCTTGGGATAGGAGGATGGACTAGATTAGACCTCCCGAGTTGTGCAGCCCAGTTGCTGTTCAGAAGACATCAGGGGATTGTCCTGGGAAATGGCTGACTGGGGTTTGGATTTGTTTTTCGAAAATAACCAAAAAAAAGGGCCCTGTGCGTGTTCACATTGCTACTGGTAGAAGCAAAAAGCAAGAAAAAATGAGGGCAAATAAAAATAACAACTTGAAGAGCACTAAATTTTGTTTGGTTATTACTATAAATCATGGTGACAACACTGCAATAAGTGACAAGTGGATAGTCTTCCTTTCCCTTGTTCCTTCCTGCAGAAAAAGTTGTAGGAATTTTTGATTCAGAAATGGAAAAATAGTGACTGAGATCTCAAGATCTCATGACATTATTTCCTTTCACTCTTTGACCGTGTTTACAGAATCTATTACTTCCACATCCCAAAGCAGTTGCATACAGATTAGGTTTTTGTGACCACATTGTAGTGATAGATGATTTAGAAGCAGTTTATTTCTTGGAGTGTATGTTTTGCTTTATACTTTTCATTAAAGTTGCTTAAGAAAAAAAACAACATATTGATCTCTTAATTAGAACATATTGCATTCTGCCAGGAAGAAATGTAATAGAAGTGTCAGGTTAATTTGCATTTTCCTCTTTTTTTTAATACAATAGGATCTCTTTCCTAAAAGACTGAAATACATTGAACTAATTTTTGAATACTACTTTCCATAGTAAAAGAAACATTTTTGAATGCGTAGTGTTTTTGTAAACGCTTTGTATGCACAAATGAAATGGCTGAACAAGAATCCCCTTTTTTATAGTGTTGAACAAACACATTGACAATTCACATAGAAAAAAAAGTCTAATAAAGATAGTGATCTTCCTGTGGGATAGCCTAGGCTAAGCATAGAGGAAATTTTTCTTTTGTTATATCAAGCTCTTCACAATTTTAGCAATACAATAAATTCTAATGAAAGGCAAGGCATGTTTTAGCATAAGACACTGTTCAAGGTGAAGGCAAGCATTTTGATTCTCTCTGAAGTGTTAGCACTTAGCAGGTGTATTTATAATCATTCCATCTTGTATTTAATCCTGTTGGTAACTTGTTCTTTTCTATGTGCTTGTTTTTCAGGCAGCAGCACCTGTCCAAAGTTATTAGTATCGTCTCAGTCTTGTCCAGCGAGTGCCACAGCCAGGCTAATTGAGCAGAATGCACACAATGAAGCGGCTCAGGGAATAAATGGAAGTGTGCCAGTCAAACAGGCCCCACGCACAGCTTCAAGTCCAAAGCCACAAGGTAAACGCTCTCAAATACATCCGTAAGTTGCTCTTCTGCTCCTCCCTCAAGGCAATTGTTAAAACAACCTAGAGCACCTTGAAAGAACTGTGCTTCTCAGGGGGAAGAGATACAAAATATGTAGGTTTCTCATCTACAGGTTTAGAATGTTTATCTAAATCTCAAACTTTTTTTTGTGTGTGGCCTGTTGCTGGGGTGGGATAGAAGCAAAAGTGAAAGAGGACCTGTGTTTGTCCATCCAAGAACCTGCTGTTAGGAGTGACACGTAGCATCATCGCTCTTCTCAAAAGCAAAAAGAGCAAGTTTTGAAGACTAATATCATCATCCTAGTCAGTAACGTAGATTATGAGACATACTGGTGATACAATAGACTAGAATCACTGTTGCCTCTAGTGAATTAAATGATCTGTGTATCAACCCATTGAAAGTTGCATCCTAAAGAATTTTGCATCACTGTTGAGTTCATCTTAGAATTAAGAGGGAAAGAAAATTGTTTGGTGCCAAGAAAGTTTAGTTTATTTAGGGTGCCTAAGAGCAAAATAAAGCTGTGGGTTTTTTGTTTTGTTTGGGGTTTTTTTGTATAGTTTGTTTTTCTAGGACTTCTGGTAAAACATCATAATTTAGTGAACCATATTGGCAGCCTTTATGGCCTTTATGCTCTAGTTTCTGCAACTTTTCTCTGAAGCTAAATTAACAAGAGAACAAATGTTGATCCTAAGAAAAATATTTTAGAAATCTGTTAATGGATAAAGAGAAATGGTCAATCCATAGAAAGATTTAAACCTTTAAAAAGCAAAAAAAGCCCACTAATTGTAATTATAGCTGTTACATAATTAGGAGTTAGATAACATGGGACTATATTCATTCGGGTAATCATACAGCTGCTGTTGCTCTTTCCCAGCCATGACTTCTATGTTTATCTCAAAAGTGCTCGCTCCAAAAAGTGGCACAGCTAGGAATAATGTTGTCGTCTAAGAAATGCAGCTGTGAAAATTACAGGCAATATCATGGTTGTAAATAGTATTTTGTGTGTGCTCTGTTAATGAGCTTGCCTGGGTCTTTCTGCATCTATTCCTCTTGAATACATATGTCAAAGTTATAAAGTATAATTTTTGGCTTTCTTTGTTAAAAGAAACAAAGCAAAATAGAATGAATGAGTGTTTAGGAGTCCAAATGATCCCAGCAAGATGAATTGCTTTAGTTTATTGATTTAAACTTGGTTGCTAAACTTTTTTTAGCAGCTTTTGGTGTAGAGAACAATTTCTGTTTTATAACAGTAGGATATTTTCTTTTCCAAATTGTTGCTCTTGACATGCAAGTACTAGAAGTCCTTTGGTAATGAAAGCAAGTGAGATCGAAAAACTGAATTGTAATGCCAGTGAGTTTGGTTGTTGATGAATTAACCACAAAACAAGCTTCCTCTAATTTACCAAAATGCATACAATTCAAATCAAGAAACATGAAGTGGGGTAGATCTATTTTTAGTAAGCTTGCTTTAAAATACAATAAAAAATATTCAAAATCTTGCACTTCAAAGTGAACCGTGGGCCTGTTTTGTTCTATGCTTAGTCTCGGAGAAGTAACTTATATTTTTGGAACCTAATCACTCCGAGCAGCCACATTAAGTGAATAATCTGCAGCCCCAATATAAAATTCTTTCCCTTCAATTTCATTTTGTTTTCCTGGCGTTTCGAGGAGAAAACAATCTATCTGTCTGATGCACTAAAGTAAAAGAGCAAGGTTTTGTTCCCCAGCAACAATTTAGCAACTCCTGTGTCCGAATTCTGTGTCGAGTGTGGTTTGATTCGTGAAAGTCTTTGCAATTCTGGAACAAAGCCTGAAACCTCCTGCAAGGCAGCGAGGGAGGGAAGCAGGGCAGCCTGGCCCGCAGAGGAAGGGGCACGCGCGGGCCGCAGCGGCTGCGGGGGACGGGGCTTTGCCTTTGTGCCAGTACAGCGTGTGCTCCAGCAAAGTGGAGTCATCCGGATGGGAGGCACTCGCTGGAAACAGCGGAATTCACTAACGAGCTGCAAATCACACGTGGTGCTCAAGAGGTGGAGGAAGTTGTTAGGTAAATTGGAATTTGCTCTTACCTACAAATATCCGGGCAGTGATCTGGGCCTAGCACTAACAAAGTGCATGCGGAGTGACAGGAAAATTTTATTTATTTATCTATTTATTTATTTAGGGGGTTCTGCTTCTCCCTGTCCTTTGAAATAACTGTTCCATGAGTTTTATATAGCGCCTGCCTAGTAAATACATTGAAGTACATTGAATACTAATACACTGAAGTTTGCAAAGTGCTGACAGTGGAGCAGTGACACTGGTACACATACAGAGCGCATGCAGAGCGCAGACCTTGGCTGTGTTTGGCGCTGGTGAGATTCTGGGATGAAACCTTGCTGTTTTGAGGAAGCATTGACATTTCTCCACTTTTACACTTCTTTAAAAACAGTGCCATGGAAACCTTTCGAAGTTTTCTTTAGGAAGAGCTTCCCTTTATTAAAATATCCAACAAAATTTCTTACCGGTGCATCAGGCTTGACCCTACGCACTGGTTGCTCGTTTCGATGCTCCTAGTGAGCGCTCAGCCCTGCGTGTGAAGCTCCTGCTCTGGCCGAGGAGACGGCCCTGCCTGGCTCGGGGGTGACGTCCCGGCCGGTGGCCTGGCTCCCGGCTGGGCTGCTGCGAGCGGGGCAGCCGAGGGCTCCAGCAGCAGCAAGTAGCCCCGTCTCCTTTTCCCGTTAGCTGTAGTATAGTGGGGGACTTTGCAGATGGTCAGCGGCTTGGGCCTGGAGCAGCTGAAAGGCTTCTTCAAAGTGCTGGGCTGCTGACCGTGCCTTCCCTAGTGAAATGAGACCCCTGCATTTAAAGCTGAATTGAACGAAAACTGAGGAGTGTTTCTAGCTGCTCTCCTCCTGCTTTGTGGTACTGTAAGAAACCTACAGCAATGTCTCTCTTACCAACAAGACTCCTAAAGCCCAGGCATCGTTTTCAGAAAGGAGAGGGATGAGAGAGCAAAACACACTTGATAATTATTGGTGTTATCTCTAAATTTATTATTGGAGGGTACTTGTTTTGATGTGGAAACGTGGAAATACTCATTTAGAAAATTAGAGAAGCTGACTTGTTCTTCTTTTGCTGAGTCCGGGTTACTTGTTATTTTGTATGGTTCCTGTATGGTTTGGTATCTGTCCAGCTTGGCTCATTTGATCTTTCTGAGCATGATGGAGCATGCAAGGGGATGATGAAGGATGACTCAAGAAAGGGAGCTTTACTTGCTGACTGCAGGAGCTTTTATATTTTCACTGAATCAAAATGCAGCAGAAATGTTACCAGCAGGAGTTCAATGGTTAGAGGGGGAATCAATTCATTAAACTTAAAGTGATAAAAGAAAGACCTTTGCTAGTCTGTCTTGCACGCAGTGGTTGTTGCACCTGTGATATTCCTTTGTAGCAGTACCTCCAATTTTCTTGTGCTTGCACAAAGTTGGATGCACAACCACAGGCTACAGTTTAAATTCTGACCGTATGTTTCAGCCAGCAATCTGCAGTAGCAGTTATCTAGTTAGCAGGCTATTTTGGTGGTGGTGGGGTGGTTCTTTGGGCAGAATATGCAGTTCATATCTTCCAATATTCTCACAGCTCTACAGTATAGAAACAAGAGTGTTTATGGAGTTGAACAGAGCGCTGTATCATGCAGTATGTAACAATGGCCCAGTCTCCTCGTGGTTTCTTTTAAGAAGTTTGCTGTGTGCACATCAAGAAAACAAATAATCTGATTAAAATGAAACACTTCAGCAGTACACTGAGGGAAGAATTAATGGCATTTGTTTTCCATAATCCCTCTTAACAAGGCTGACCTTGCAGGAGGGTTTGCAGGCTCTTTTATGCTGCTGGTTCTTTGCTTTTCCCGGATCTCGTGACTGCCCTTTTCCCACTGTGCTGTTTCTAAGGCTTCCGGGAGCCAGGAGGGCACCTGGTTAGGGGAAAAGCTGCCTCTCAGATGCTGATGAAATTAGCTAGTGGCACTGGCTTGGTGCAGCTGTTTGGCTTGGGGTTGTCTCCTGAAGATGCTGCAGAGATTTTGGGTTCGTTGGGATTGTCCAGTTTGGCCGGAGTTTCCTGGTACTGCTACTTGCTCTGCTGAACGGCAGCTCTGGCGCTTTTGGTTGCTTTTTCCTTTCAACCACTGTAAAAGTGTGACAGCTCCACAGCATGTCCTAGATTTGCTCTTTGTCCCACAAGGCTCCAGTACAAATAGCTCCTAGCTAACTATTTTGCTTTATCAGCAGACATTAACTCCCTCAAGTTCAGGAGTTTTACCGTAGCCTTGTGCGGATATTGACTTTTTAGGACACGCACAGGAGAGAGCTCGCCGGGCCCTGCGTTACGCAGCGCGTTTCTGTAAGCTGCCCTAACGCTGCACAGCAAGTCTGTGCCAGGGCCTCCTTCCTTTCTGTCTCCTCCCCTCGGGAAGCCGCGGTCCCCACGCTCCATTCTGTGTCCTGCTTTTTCCCAGCCCGCTTCTCTCGCGTTTTCCATTGGTTTCATTTCCCTTGTCGGCGTGGCAAGCGCTTTGGCTCTTCGGCATCTGTATCTGATGCTCGCTGGCCTAAATCTTCCAGGCCTTCCCAAAACTCCCCGAGCTGATAGGCAACAGGGAGAAGAACTGCAAAGGTGGAGGAGCCGACATACGCAGCTTCATCAATAAAGACTTCAGTCAGTGCTCATACACTGGGAGTTAATCGTTGGCCTTCTGCTTCTCCTGGGTTTGTTTGAAATGCTCGTTTTTTAAAGTTAGCCTTTCTGCACAAAATTCCTTTTTTTGCTTGGTCTGTTTCTTATTATAGATATGTTAGTAAGAAGGAATTACGGGAACTACTGGAGAGAGTCCAGCACAGGGCTATGAGGATGATCAGGGGCCTGAAGCATCTGCCCTGTGAGGAGAGGCTGAGGGAGCTGGGCCTGTTCAGCCTGGAGAAGAGAAGGCTGAGAGGGGATCTGAGCAGTGTCTATAAGTACCTCAAGGGAGGCGGTGAGGAGGATGGTGCTGGCCTCTTTTCAGTGGGGGCCAGTGATAGGACTAGAGGAAATGGCTGGAAACTGAAGCATCAAAAGTTCCACAGGAACTTAAGGAAAATTTTCTTAACAGTGAGCACTGTTTTGCTGACAGAGCACTGGAACAGGAGATCTTCAAATCCCTCTTGGACGCAGTCCTGTGCCACGTGCTCTAGGTGACCCTGCGTGTGCAGGGGGGTTGGACTAGGTGATCTCTAAAGGTCCCTTCCAGCCTTAAGGATTCTATGATTCAATGATGCTAAAGATATATGGTAGCAATGGGGAATAAGAGGGGAATACAGAATATTTCCTGTGGGCCAAATTTGCAGCTGTATAAATAGGCCCACGGGGTCAGTGAGTAAATAAAGCTCAAAACTGAAGCCAAGTATCTTTTCCACTAACTATTGTTTTTGAAGTAGGTGGGGAGAAGGTAGAATGAGAGCACCAGAGTTTTGGGTTAGCCCTTTGATTTGCTTGGGAAAAGGCAGCTGAAAGGCTGTCTCTGGGAACACCTCGATTCTTTGGTTTCTCTAATTCTTATTTAGGATCTTCAGTTATGGAGGCCACAAATGGTGCTTACTATAGTAGGCTACATAAAACTACTTTTCTAGCTTATTTTAGTAGCACAAGGTTTGGCAAAAAAGATAATAGGGCACCTGATACCCCAGAGTAAGTAAGAGACTATAGGAAAGTCATATATTAATAGTGCAAGTTTAAGATTAAGCATATCAAAAAAACCCTCGTTCTTACGAGTTCTTATATGAAATTCTCATATATGGTCTGGCAGTTAGAAACAGTTCCCGAGTGACCAATTGTTGCTGTGGTTGTTTGCAGTGCCTCCAAAGCCAATACATCTGCAGAATTTATCACCTGTTACATACCAAACCCCTAGGCATAGAGCTTTATCGAAGCCGAAACCAAGGATGGAGGAAGAGGTACCTACCCCTGCGTCCGGCGGCGCAAAGGAGAAGTCCAGCAAAGTGTCAGATCTCATCAATCGTTTCGAAGGAGGAAGGTAGGTCATGGACTGTCCTTTTGAAGAACGGGGGAGCAAGACAAGATTTTAACTGTTTTGCACCTCTGTGGCGTGCAGGTTAATGGAATTTGCAGGTGTGAGGAGGAGCGTTGGTTGCGTGGTGTGGCTCAAACCTAGCCCTGCCCAGGGAACTCATGACAACATTGCACGTGTCAAAGTGAAGGAAGTTAATAGTGTTTTGGCCTGTACAATGTGTTGGGTTTTTTTATAAGGTGGTAGGCTTAATTTTTCTTGTAAAAGCCTGTAGCATTTTTAAAATGTTCTAAAACATGTCAGCTCTTTGAAACAAGTGCTGTATTTAAATGGCACTTTGGAATTGGTTTTAAATTCCTTTGTAATTTGATATTCTGAAGGAGTGCTGTGTACAGGAATGAACGTGTGGGGTACAATAGCATATCCTCCAAAGGAGCCAGGGTATTAAAGACCCTCAGTGAAAGATTTTTGCCCTCAAGATGAGAGTCATTATGCATCATATGCATCAACTGCCATGTATTACAAAAGTAGGTTTGTCTAGTGGAAGAGAAGTCATTTCAGAGCTTTGTCTGCAAGAATCTTCTGTCATTTGGGGAAGACTTACTCACACCTCTGTCAAGGCAACTGTCAAGAAAGGGGGAGAAAAAAAATGCTGTGCTAGAGGTCTTATGAATTCTGCTGTGTTAGGTCTGCCATGCTGCTACCACTTTGTTGCCCAGTCTTCCTTCAAAGCATAATTTGCTTTGAGTTCTTTTTACAGTGTAGTATCCCTAAAAAAAGATTTCATCTCTTGCATAGTTTGTCCTAGTGCCTGTGAAGTATTAAAAAGTTCTAGAATAAAATGCATACTGCATGTTAGTTTGTTGTTTTTAATTCCTCTTTAAAACTGAGCCAGTTAGTTAGAATTTGACCGTGTTTGTGAAGGTGAAAAATAAGGGGCATATGAAAGAGTTCCCATAGCATTCTGTCTTCAAGCCTTGTAGAGAAATCTCCTGAAGGATCTTAGCTGCTTTGGGGTATCTTTCATCCTTTAAAAAGCAACATGAGTCTATTTAAATGCCCTTTGATATCATTATTTTTTCTGAAAGGGAACTTCTCAGCTGAGCCCTACCATTTCATCCTGATAGTTGTGCCTGCTGAGTTTTACCAAACACTTTCTATATTATACAAATGAAGGAAGCTATAAATAAAGCAGTGAATACTTTCTTATTTGTTGATGTTAAAAAGGGGGTAGGGGGGAAAGCTAGGGGAAGTTGGCTAGTTTTTTAGTCAAAGCTTTTCATTGAAGTCAGAAATAATTCTCTTCAAATCTGTGATCTCCGCTATTCCAAATTCTGTGTCTGAATAAAAATAAGAGAGTTCCTTAATCAGTGTTCCCAGTTGTTCTGGAATGACCTTCTGTAGCTATGGAAACTCAGCTCATAGCATGTTTTCTGTGAAGATAATTTTCACTTGTAATTATTGGTCTTCAAATACCTGAGTCACGTGTCCATCAGCTGCAAATTATCATTATCAATTAGCCCGTGTTACCCTAAAACAGATGGATAAAGGAAAAGGTTAAATAAACCTCTGTTAAATAAATCTCTCTGCCTGCTGCAGTGAGAAAGGCAGTTAAATTTCTCAGAATTTGAGAGCTTATTTAAAAAAAAACCATGATATTCACACACAAAACAAAACAAAATCACACACACAAAAAAACCTATTTATGATGGAAGCAGACAGAAGCTGGTGTAAAATATTTTTCAAGGTCTACATGCTACAGTTCAGAATGTTTCTGATATTTATGTAAACTGTCCTGTAAATAAGGAGTAAACATACAGTTGATAACTGTTCTTCATGTTTCATGAAGATTGATGTTCAATATTAGGAACAATGTGGTGAAGGCCAGTAATGATATCTTTCCGAAGGTTAAATATGGTTTGATAAACATAAACATACTTCAAACAAAATTGAAGTGTATATGTTTTATTTGGTGGTAAGAATTTCTTATCCTAATAAAGCCAAAAATCTTCTTACAGAATATGCTTATATTATCCTAAAATTCAAGCTCTCAAATATAACAAAGAAAGAGATAGCAAAAGGTATGAAAATGGATAAAATATCTTAAAAGCTGAGAGAAAATATGGAAGAAAAGAATCTTCAGCAAAGATGTAGCTTAACAAAAGTATAGTGCTGAACAAGGAAATTGGGGTAAGAAGGGGAGAAGCAAGGTTTCTCCAGCAATGTGTTAAAGTAAGAAAAGGGATAAATATGGACGTGTTTCATGCATTCTGTGTAATTAGTGTCATTAGGGAATAGGTTGCCAGTTGGTTTAAGCACTGGGAGTTGGGAAACCCAGATTTTTTTTTCCCCTATTTCTGCTGATAATCTTCTGGGAAGCTTTGAGCAAAATGTTTCACTTGTTAGTGCCTCAGTTTCCTTATCTTTATGCATTGCTAATTATTCTGCCTTCCATTAAAAAAAAAAAAAATCGAGAGAGATGCAATGAATGACCATTACTGTAGGTCTCCAGTAAGAGATGCGTGTTTATGTGTGGCCTAAAGAAATAATGCAGTTTAACTCTCGATGGCCTGACATTCCTAATATTAAAAATGGTCTGGGAGAAATCAATTATGTAGTGCAACTGCTCTACGGTTAATAACAGGGATTTTCTCTAGTGCCATGTTTGACATTTATCTCATCTGTGTTTTACTTGTTTGTTTTTTAGCCCCTTGAGTCATAGTGAATCGAAGAAAGAATCCTCCGTTCTCAGCATTCCTAAATCTCAAGGAAGATATGGGCCAACACCATCACCTCAGCCAAAACTCCCCTCCCAGCACCCACTACAAAAACAGGGAAATAATAATACCGACAAAACTCAGGTTGCACAGACACACACAGCCAACGGAGTAGTAGCACAAGACCAGGTGGCACATGAGGACAGGAGGGTACCTGAGCAAAGCCCCGTGCAGCTCACCCAGGTGCCAGGTAATGCAATCAGCAGTAGCTTGGTGAATGGGGAAAGAGAAAGCACTACGAGAGAGTCCTTGCCGACTACAACTGCCTCTGAAGGACCAATGCTTAACAGCTGCTACAGGACTCCAAGCAGTGATACACTGCTCCCATCCGAAAAAGACACTCTAGAAATTAATGCAAATGTGAAGGAAGAACCGAATGAGGAAATCAGTAAGCAAGATCCACCTGTAGAAACAAAGGTAAAAAGATAAATTATGTCTTTCTGGTTGTGTTGCTACTCTGCTACTTTCTATAGGCTTCTATATAGAAAAAAATAGGCTTCTTAAAGCTAAGATTTCAAAGAAAACAAAGAATTTCAAAGAAAACAGCAATTTTGTCTTAAAACACAAATGGAGCTAAAAGCTTCACCATCCAGTTGCAATTCAATGACATGATTTTGGAACTGGCAAGCAGAGGATTAGAAATTGTCTTTGGGAAACGCTTTTGGCATTGGTAGTTTTATACTGTAGAAGGACAGATTCCAGAGCAGAGGCTGTGCCACTGCAAAGGGTGTTGATATGTTTCTAATGTGCTCTCAGCATTTAAACAGCGACAGAAAATAATTGGTCACACCTTCCCACCACCCCACCTGCCTTCACTGAGTGGAGTGTCTCAGGTTTTTACAAAAAAAAAATGGAACTGAAATGTGTATATTTAGCAGTAAGCTTGTGCTGCGACAAACTACAAGGAACGTGCATCTAAGATAAAATTCCACATGTAGTGGACTGCAGCAAGGGGGCTCAAGGCAGAACTATCATGTGAATCCTTAATGTCCATGGAGGCAGTTGTCAAGGCAAAACAGGAAAGGCACTGGCCATCTGCTAGCTATCAGCTAGACACAAGTATCAGTACACTAAATATCTGCCTTGTTAGCAAGGAGGACTGAAGGAATATGGCAATGAGTTTGAGCTTCCTACTAGGGAGGGCTTTAAATAATTAAAGGAAATGAGTGGGTGGAAGAAAATCTGTCATGGAAAAATGAATAGCAGAAGAATAGTGCACATTTCCCCTGCTAAAAGTTTGATCATGTTATTTGCCTCCTTGCACTGAAGCACTTATGCCCAATGAATTTATTAATAGTTCTAGTCCTACTTTGCTATATATGAGCCATTGCAGAGGAGGCTGGGCTGGGCCCTCCGGGCTCTTCTCTCCACATCTGAGGCAAAGGGGAAAGTATCTGGCAGGAGGTGCAGCTACGTATAGCGGAGCACTGGGAAAGCTAGTTAGTTAGTTGTCAGTGGCACACTCATGTCATTTAACTGCCAAGCTTCAGGACGGTTCTGGAGTCTGAAACAGAGGGTTTCATAGCTCTAGTCTGCGTTTTTGTATCTTTTTTTATATACAACTAACTCTGAGTTTTGACTCCTAGAGGAATGGCATCTCTGAATGCCCTTGAGGTTGGCTAGTTAGGGATCTCCTGCATGCTCCTATGAGGTTAAATTCTCTACGTAGGGAAGGTAGGTCACGGTTTTTACACATTACAGTGCAAAATAACCTGGCCAATGACCAGAAGGTGCCTGGGATTTTTCCCCCCTTCCAGTAACGAACATTGTGTCCTGGCTATACAGAAGTCTGGTAAAAACCCAGGGTACCTTTCATCTGTCACACCTCTTTCATTATGTTTCCGTCTCCTGTTCGGTAATGCCTGTTTCCGCTCTCTGTGCCAATAAAACACGCTGAATGACCCACTGCCAATGTTAAGCTGGAATCCAAATTACACAATAAGGTGCTGGCAGGAAAAGGTAGAAATCGAAGGCTGTTGTGATGTAAAATCCAGGAAGGAACTCGGCAAATGCTTGGAGAAAATGCTAATGGGAGCCATCTCTTTGCAGCCTGACCAGCCGGGTGACCAGCTGGTCTCTGCCTTGTGTCAATCAAAAGTTAAAGTATGAGGTCTGATTTAACTGCGATTAGTGTATTATTTGGTGCTGCTAGAAAGATGTACCAAAGCATGCAGGATGGCTGCCAGAGAGGATGGCAGCGGAGGATTGAGTCTGCAAAATGAATGTCACCTTTCGTTTGGTGAGATTAAGAAGCTCATGCCATGGCTTGTCTGAGGGCCCCTCTTTGCAAGTGATTTGGATGTGTTCGATGCTGCCTACAGACTGAAATCAGCCCGTGAAGCCTCGAGTTGCTGTTGCCATGCTGGAGCAGGAGGAGAGGTGCTGAGGAGCTTAGCTATGACTACAGGCAAGTAAGCAAGAGCATTTACAGTTTATGGTGTTCCTGTGCAGCCACAGGGTGGGTAAAGGGTCTTACAGGTGGATTCCGCCCAGCTAAAGTTGCACTGGAAATAAGCAGCCACACTCTTACATCCTTCTTAATTAAGCAAATATAGGTATAGTTGAGTAATAGAAGTAGGAGCAAATGCCTGTGAGTCATAGGCAGACTTTAAGTTGGGCATCTGTTTGTATAATTTGACGCTGATGCAATGCATCTTCCTTGTCTCCTGCATGCCGTGCTTTTTAGAACAGGGAAGAAGAAAAGGTGGTGGTGCTGTTGCATTGTGAATGTGTGCCTGTGCAGCAGAAATAAATTAAATCAATCACTGGAAAAGCAGATGCATGGAACTGGGAAGTGCTGCAAAACCAAAGCACAAATTGCCTTTAGGCTTGGAAAGAAAATTTGTTTTGAAATAATGCTGCTCTTTGTTTTTGTTTTGTGTTTCTCTTTCCCACAAATAATGCAAGGAAAAAGACACTTGAAAGTGAAGATTTTCTTCCTTGCAACAGAAGCTCCTTCTGCCATAAGATTTGGTTTCCTAAAATGTGGAGGCTGAACAGTACAAGAACATCCCCATCAAGAAACTTCCTGAAGAACATCTTGTGAGAAATCTGCCACAAGAGTTAACTGCAGACGAGAAGGCAAATCCTTCTGTGTGTGTTCTGAGCCTGGTAGGAAATGTGGATAGAGGCTGCGTGTGTTCCACAGATGGAGAAGAATCCCTTGTGCGTCTTCATTAAAGCATTTACTTGATGTGGTCTTTCTAATAGCAATATTGGAGGATCCAGTGCTACAGATGCAAAACTTCCTGGCGATTACATGTTTCTAAATGTGGATGTGGAGATACTTGAAAGTGGGAAGAAACTTCCCTGCTAAATTAACTCCCTGTTGAGAAATGATTTGCTTTTGCAACACTTGAGAAACAGATGAAGTAAAATCCTGATTCTACAAATTGGTGTTCTTCCTCAGCAGTGATTCGTGAACAAAGCTCTATGTCTTTAGCATCCTCTATAAATATGTGTGAATCCTCATGAGAAGAATCACCTCTTTAGGGATACCAGGTGTTCTACTGTCCTGGCTGTTGTGCAAGAAACTTGCCAGTCTTGTGTTTAATGGACATACGGTTAATAAGTATTCCATATATAGTTAGTATACAGTGCATATTAACTATATAGAGTCCATGGACTGTACAATTCATGTACTACGTTGTTAGTTAGTGAGGAGGTGGTAGCACTCAGGATTTTCCCTGCAAGTCTTGTGAGATGCAGTGCGTTTTAATTTCAGAAACAAAGGTCTCAGGCAATGAAGGGAAATCTTAAATTCCTACAGAAATTTACACTTCTATCCTTAATGCTTACAGAAGAAAGCTTTGGATCACAAAACATTTATTGTGTGAACAGCTTAAAAGAAAAACAACCAAACTTAGTCTGTTACTTCAGACCAAACTCAGCATTAAAAGTAAACAAAACATATACAGAGTAGTTATTTGTTTGTATTCTACAGCTCTTATCCTATCTGTGTTGCTCGATATGTTACTGCAAAGTCCTCGGTGCAAGGACTGCTCCAAAGAGAGTGAATCATGTAATTCATTGCTGTTATGTTGGGAAAGGTAGCTGTTTTCTTGATGGGAGAGGGTTCTTCACTGGCTGGAGTAATGAGTAATCGCAGAAACTGGTCCAGTAGATTGAAATTTTGGTTTACATCAGGTCTACTTTAAAATAGTGTGTTTGTTAAAGTAAGGATGGTATGGTCGAGATTATTAATTTTGAAATACTTTAGTTGATAAATGATTGAACAAAATATTTATTTCAGTCCTTTAGAGAGTTTCTGAAGTCTTAGATCACAACTGAGTTAAGTTACTCTCATGGCTTGTCTTCACTAAGCAATATGTTTTTTTTATTGTTCATATATTCATGCTTAAAATAAAAATTGCTCATTTATGAAAAGAAATAAGAAGTTATAGCATTTGGACTAGTTAGGAGCCTTGATAAAATGTGTATACCTATAATTTAAAAATAGGCAACTAAATGTCTAAATTGTACTTTTGACAGTTACTTTTCACAAGACAGTTAAAACTGAGAATTCAGCTCAGCTGTAGTCATGAAATTAATAGTAATATTTTGTTCAACTCTCTCTTTGGAAGAGATTAGAGGTGTGTTTTTTAAATTGCTGAAGTGTTGAAAATGCTGAGGCATTTTCTACATTATCCCATGCTGTTCTGAGTGTTTAAGTGCTTAGGCACTTAAAAACGTTACCTTGCACTTTGGACATTTTGATCAGCAATAAAGTCTGAAGCTTTCAACG